TTCAGGGAATGAATCCGCTAGTTTGAGGACGAAACGTCGGGAAAACTTGCTAAGAAGTACAGATGATGGGTGAGAAACCTTCCTTTGCTTTGACTAATCCCTGTACGACTGAGGGCTTACACAAACTAGTATGTACAGTACTTAGACAATTTGTGTTTGCTTGTTTTTCATAACTTTTTGCAGTAAATGATCTTTCGTCTGTTTAAGTAAGAGGATTTGCACCAATTAGCATCTGTCTAAATTTGTGGTTTTTTTCCCCCCGATGTAGTTTTATATGTGCCCATAATCCACAACACAAAGTTAAAGCTCCCATCAGTTCCTCTTCCCCCTCCGTCCTCGTCACATCCATTAAACCTTGCCGCGTACTTCCTTCTCTGCATGAATCAAACCCCACAAATAGCCTCTTTCCGTTGCTCTCCCGTTAGCGTAGCGCAAGGTTAACTTTGCCGAGTTAGCCCACGGCACTCGTCATCCTGCCATAATGGTGCGCAACCGGTAATGAACACTGGGCCTGGTGCCAACAGGTGGTCCCTTTAGACGAGCGAGAGAGACCAGAGAGAGAGAGAGACACACACACACACTAGGCCTCCTACACAAACCCGAGAAAACCACGAAAAAGAAATGGTGGCGTTGCGAAAAAAAAAAAAGTGTGAGAATCTAATGTTCTGCGAGGAGTGAAAAGCGAATTTGCCGGAGCTTTTGTTCCCGTCTGGAGATCGAGTCTTGTGTGTCATTGTCCACGCCACAAACCGACAGCTCCCCGCTCCCCCTGACACCAAGCCACGGCGGAAGAAAAGCCGGCGTTGACGAGTCACACAGACCCAGAAGAGGCCATTAAGACTTTCTCCCGGTTATGAATGGGATATGAATCTTGTCTCTTCGACCCCACGCCGCAAAACAGCCCAAAGAAAAAAAAGGCCAAGACAAGAAACTAGACTTTTTCTGAGGGCGCTGGAGTGTGAGGAGGAGTGAGGAGGCGTGAGGAGGAAGGGTGGGGGTCCCAGGGTTGAAAAGAATGGAGAAAACATTGGATGAAATTAGCAGCGTTTGACTGACAGGCGGGAATTAGAAAGAGTCAATGAGGAAGTGGGCTTTTGTGGAGTGTTGAAAAGGTACACGATGACCACCCAACCTCCGGCGGCGACTCTGACGACCCACTCTGACAGAAGCAGAGTCTGTGGAGATTAGAGCGAGTTTAGAGCCCAGCCTGGTCCCACAGGATTTAAGTACTGGTAAAAGTATAGCATAGTTTTACACTTTTAGATTTTTTTTATTTAAAATGCTTCTAACTGAGTCCCATTGAGATGAATTTCTGGACAAAAGTCACACACAATTACATAAAATTACAGATTATTAAAATAGTTACCTGTCAATGAGGTTTCAAGTGTTAATCTGGATTTAAAAGTATTCAAGGAAATAAGTTCAGTTTCCAGAGAGAGAAGAGAGTCCAGAGAGAGAGAGACCAGAGAGAGACCAGAGAGAAATTGACCCTCAGTGACAAAAAAACAAAGAGTTGTATTTTACATTTCAAGGCAGCAACAGTTTGAACATACTAATGTTAAAGGAAGTGAGGCCTTAAAACAGTCTGGTTTAAGTCAGATCTCCACAAAGACAGAAACAAAATGTGTTATAGTAACTGACGCCATTGATAATTGTCCAAACAGAAAAAGCTCTTATGTGAGGTCGTAAAAGAATTCTGAAAAAAGCACTAATATTTTAGTCTGTGAAAATATTGACAACATCTAATATGTTCCCTCTCTGGTCTCTCTAGCTGGTCTCAATCTGTCTTTGCTCTCTCTCTGGTCTTTCTCTCTCTTCATGACAAAAACAAAAGTATTGCTGTAAACTAAAAGGTCACAATAAAAGTCTGGCCACAATAAAACTATCTAACACAGCTATAAATCTATATTGCTATAGACAGACCCATTGATTATATCTCAGTCTCTATTGAAAGTGACTCAGATTGGTGCACGTGTCCTGCAGAGCCGAGCCTGAGCCGAGCCGAGCCAGAGCCAAGCCGAGACCGAGCCTGACGCGAGCCAGAGCCGAGCCAGAGCCGAGCCGAGCCTGAGCCAGAGCCGAGCAGAGACGGCTGGGTAAAGATAATGAGATATTTAGTGCGCCACTTGAGTCAGACGCCAGCCCGGCTCTGCGCTCAATGGGCCGAGGATGGGTGGATCCGCGGGCCCCAAATACGAGCCTTTGTGCCGCGCCATAATGCGTTTGTTACACTCGCAGCAATTTGTCCCTATTAACCTTCGGGAGGGGGCTGCGGCTGAGACAAAAGCCGGCGGCTAACAATGCAGCTAACCCTCATTCCGATTTCCAGCTCAAGTGGTCCCCTTCCCCTGCTGCTTTGTGCTTCTTTTTGGCTCCAATTCTTCCATCCGCAGACGGACAGAGCTGGATGCAAGAGCTGAGCCATACCTGAAAAAAAAGCAAAGCCCAATTCCCCCTGAGAATGAAATATCTTTGGCAAAAAAGAGAGAGAGAGAGAGAGAAAAACACAATGCAATGTCTGCTATTGTATTCAGGTCACTCAATCAATCACCTCTGAAATAAATCTTGACATGGCGTACAATGAGCGCTTGTGCCTCCCGAAAAGAAACGGGAATTACAGTAATTTTAAAAAGCGTGAGAAAGACCCCCTTTTCCTGTTATGAGCAGGTTTTGGCTAAAGCCGGAGCGAGACGATGGAAAAATACATCCTGGGTCTCATTGTGGAGGCACCTGCTTCACTGTCGCACATATCACAGTTTGGGCAGCTGCCATTTTGGGGCTGGATGTGTTTTGGAGATGGGGATAATGCGTCTCGGCGGTGGTCTCGGCGGTTCTTTCAAAACAAATCTATGTGGCAACTTCAGCGTTTGATGGAGGCGAGAAAAGCCGGCAGTCTCGAAGTGGCGAGATATGAAATGGGGTTAGAATGGAACCGATTCACGGAGATACGATTGAGTTTAGAAATGTAGTGGTAGAAAAAAGCCAGAGAGAGAGAGACCAGAGAGAGACCATGAAGAGAAACCAGGGAGAAAAACCAAAGAGACAGAAAGCCGACCTGCACTGTGGAGTGACTGCATGTGTCTATCCATGTCTGTAGGTTTCCTCCAGGTGCTCCGATTCCATTACCCAAATTACAGTGATATGATAAAGTCTGCGCACAGCTAACAATTGGTACGATTTTCCTTTATAACTCACAGGTTGTTTTGATGAGAAATGTCAGTTTAATACATCATAAAGGAGACAAACACGGCGATATCTGAGAACCAAAAAAAAGTTTGAATTATTCACAGAAAGCGTACAAGAATGATTGAAACCTAAGTTCACGTGTGCATAAATCTAGGGACAAAACATAAAAGAAAATCAGGTCTATTTTGTATATTCTCCTTTTGCAGAAATGACAGCCTCTTCACACTTTCTATGACTTCTTATCAGAGTCTGGTGCGAGGTTTGGACCATTCTTCTTTGCAAATCGTATTTATGGGTCACGCCGTGTAGTCCAGAAAGTACAGTAGTTCATTTAGCTGGTATGTACTTATTGTATGTGTGTGTGTGTGTGTTTGTGCGTTTTTCATTCCCTCCACACGGTGATGGCGCCTCATTTCATTCAGACTTCATTCTCTTTTCTTTTTATGAAATGCAGCAGAAATTATTATTGTTATTACTTTTGGTGGCTGCATTGAATGGTGAATATCTAAATATCATTATTTGCTAATTAATATTAGAATCTTCAAAACACAAAAGAACCTGAATCTAAATTCATTTCGTGGCCCATTTGACCCCGTACTGGGATGACGCTGTATTGTAGAGAGCCGGACCCATTTTCACCTGGTTTATTTTTTATTCAGTAAAAAGCACTTCAGCATATATTTAATGTCTTTTCTTTGTGTTTGTGGACGTTTAGTTTTGAGCAGATTCTTATGAAACGATTGAGAACAGAATAAATGTAAAACATGCCAGAGTCGCAAATCTGAGGATACAAGCCTTCACTGGGCAATGACTCCTGCGTCATTTATTTTAGGTTAAAGGCTGGAAAGGGTTTTGGGGCCAACCAGAAAAGTGAATCGGACCGAATGTGGCTCCCAGGCCGCACTGTACCCAGGTCTGCTCTAAGGTACAGCTGAGGAACATGAGGCTTTCGAAGTAACTTACATCATACATCGCTCACAACACAAGAAACTCAAACTACTTCCACTTTTCTTTTCCGACACCTCCATACCGTCTCATCTCATCTAACCTGTGCGTTTGTGTGCGTGTGTGTGTGCGCATGTGTTTGTGCACCTGATTTGTGCGTCTGCCCGCTGTGCCGCGATCATCTCTCTAATGTCTGTCATTATCACAAATGACCTGATTACTGAAGCTCTGTTTGGAAAACACGTCGGAGACCCAACAAACCAGCGCCAAATGAGCCGCCGCTGCGCTTGACACCGCGACACCACGACACAAAGGCAATTATGAGTTCAGCAGCAAGGCATCATGGGAAACTGTCTGTCTGTACACCGGCACAAAGCAGCCATCGGGACGTGAATGGACAGTGAGTATGAAGTAGTGGGCAGACACGACAGTAAACAAACTTAAAGTGCTCGTGTTGTGGTCTATGCATCATTTTGAACAACACATTATCCATGATTTGTGTTTAAACTGGAGGCTTGCAGCGGTAAAATTGTAATTGTGTTTTGTGATTTATCTATGTACTAATTGGTGCACGCCGTGGACTTTTGCACATGAATTCCAATGTGGTTTTACTACAAATGGCAAATACACTGAATCTGAAATAAATACAATTTTTTATCATTATTATTTATTTACAAAGACAAGTATAAAGAGGCATCACAAAATGATCAAAAAGAGCAAGAAACATTCCTTTAACAAATATTTTAGTTTGGGACATAGAGTCACCGAGAGAGATAGAGAAGAACAGAGAGAGACAGACAGAGAGAGAGTCACAGAGGGAGAGAGACAGAGAGAGAGAGAGAGAGAGACAGAGAGAGAGAGAGAGAGAGTCATAGAGAAGAACAGTCCAGGCCGAATCCAGGTCCAAAGTTGGAGGCCTTCTTCAGCAGCGCGGCCTTCACTGCACTGATCTTCTCGTCCAGCTCCGTCAGACTGCAGGACTGAGACACAACACACTATCACCACAGAGACCACAGAGACCGCAGAGACCGCAGAGACCGCAGAGACCGCAGAGACCACAGAGACCGCAGAGACCACAGAGACCGCAGAGACCGCAGAGACCACAGAGACCGCAGAGACCACACAGACCACAGAGACCACAGAAACCACAGAGACCACAGAGACCACAGAGACCGCAGAGACCGCAGAGACCGCAGAGACCACAGAGACCACAGAGACACAGAGACCACAGAGGCCACAGAGACCGCAGAGACCGCAGAGACCGCAGAGACCGCAGAGACCGCAGAGACCGCAGAGACCGCAGAGACCGCAGAGACCGCAGAGACCGCAGAGACCACAGAGACACACAGAGACCACAGAGGCCACAGAGACCACAGAGACCACAGAGACCACAGAGGCCACAGAGGCCACAGAGACCACAGAGACCACAGAGGCCACAGAGGCCACAGAGACCACAGAGACCACAGAGACCACAGAGACCACAGAGACCACAGAGACCACAGAGGCCACAGAGACCACAGAGACCACAGAGGCCGCAGAGACCACAGAGACCTGAGACCACAGAGGCTACAGAGACCACAGAGACCACAGAGGCCACAGAGGCCACAGAGGCCACAGAGACCACAGAGACCACAGAGACCACAGAGACCACAGAGACCACAGAGACCAGAGACCACAGAGGCTACAGAGACCACAGAGACCACAGAGGCCGCAGAGACCACAGAGACCTGAGACCACAGAGGCTACAGAGACCACAGAGACCACAGAGACCACAGAGGCCACAGAGACCACAGAGACCACAGACCACGGAGACACACAGAGACCAGAGAGACCACAGGAATCAAGGCTCTTAACATTCATGCATCGTTTTACAATGTGATTATTGCTTAAATCTGGAGGGGACCTTTGTTTAACATCCGTCTGTACAAACAGATAAATACAACATCATAAACGTACCTATCTATCGAATGCATGTACAGTATGTCAGGCCTCTGTGATATCTTAAAATCAGCTTTTTCAGATCAAAAACTGTAAAAGTGGACCAGCCTCACTCAGCCCAAAGTCAAAGAGTGACTCACAGGGATCTTTCTTACAAGTCTGCGACAGATCACATGCAACAGAGACTCGGACTGAGACTGGATATGCTAACAGCTTCTTTCAGCTGTTTTCAGTCTGAGGAAAGCACTTTAATGATCTTCACTTGAATTTAAACTGTTTTTGTTGATCGATTTCACAGGAGATTGTTTCTTGTAATTTTGTATCTTGTTTCATTGATGTACTGGTGCACACTGGGGATTCTTGTATTCCATTGTGGATTTAAAAATCGTCAAATAAACTGAATGTGAATGTTACAATACAATACAATACAATTCAAAGTATTCTTGTAAAGCCCTAAACCTTAACAAAACCATTGAAATCACCAACACAGATCAGAGAATCAACAGTTAAGACACATAAAGAATATAGAACACATCTTGATAGATGTCCATACATGTAGTAGAATGTTAAAATGTCCTGGATCATCACCGCAGTTGAACTCACCTGAGGTGGGCAGGTCTTGGGTCGCTTGTGCAGGTGACTCTGAGAAAAGGGGAGAGACGCAGAAAAACCTTAAACATCGGAATTCTACCGCAGAAAATATAGAGAAACATTTATGTCTCCTTTTTCTCTCCGGCTTTGAAGGAGCTTCTCAATGATCAGGAAGAACAAGCTGCTTAAGAACTCCCCCAGAAGGCCATCGAAACACTCAAGAAAAAACTAATAACCAAGAAAAGTTGGCCTTAAGAAACAAAAACAGAGTTTTGTGTTTTCTGGTGGAACGCAGTAATGATATTATTGATCAGAGCAGAGTAGGCCGGGACCTTGGTGAGGCCTCGCCTGGTCCGAGGTTTAGAGCTGGTTCTTTTGTCAAAGCCGCTAAAGAACCAGGACTTTAAGCCGCGGTACCTAACCTTCAAAACCTATTCATTTAGCAGCAATGCGTCGTCTTTGATATTGTGCTGTGCTGTGTGTGAGTGTGTGTGTCTCTTTGTGTGTGTATATGTAGAGTGTGTGTGTGTCTGTCTGGATCGGTGTAGGTGTGTTTTTCTCTAGTACTAGTATTTTAGTATTAGTATTTAGTTCTCCTCTAGTTAACTTGGTGCTAAGATAAAATAAAATAATTAATCTCACAATGGAGAAATACAAAAGTATGATTATTAAACTACTCAGACTCACAGAGCAGTTACTCTGACTGCTCCCATCAAACCAGTGGAGTTCTGAGAAATGGTCTACAAAAGTTTTTTCCAGATGTAACAATTAGTGCTGATCAATATTTCACAAACGCATTAAGATTGTCATTTTTTATATTGCGCGATTTGTGTGACCTACTTTACTTGTAGTTTTTTTTTTTGCTGTGGCCACGGTTAATCAGAAAACAGGAACCTGTTTTGCGCGCATGTGTGTGCGTTTGTGTGGTTTTCCGCTGTTGAAACGACGTCTGCTTTCTCAAAATTGCCGCGGGGCAGGAAAATGTGAAGACACAGGTTTGCGCATGCGTTAGCGGCCTTCATTTAACAAGTGCATTCAAAAGTCCACAACTAGACTGGTACAAAATATATATATATACACTCCCCTCAGCCTTTACACACATTTGGAATGTAGCGTTGGGCCAAGAGCCGACTTTTGGACCATCCTGTAAAGCCGTTTTCAAGAGGAAAGAAGGCGGCATACAAAAGCATTGGGTAATTCTGTTTCCATGTACACCCCCACTGGCCAGGAGTGAGATGGCAAGCATGCCGGGACCTGCCCCCACCGGGTTACAGCTACAGAGTCATTTTGTTTAGTGCAGAGCGCTGCGACGATAGTCCACTTTTCTGTGGCTCTTTTGGGTGCGCACTGGTCTGCTGCCCTGAGCCTCTGATCTCTCTCTGCTCTAGAGACATCTTTACTGCTCAAACTTTCTCCAAAAGAAGCTTTTCCCTGGCTGTACCCTACCTTGCATAGGCACTCGGCGCTCAGTGTGTGACCTTTGACATGATACCCACACGCTAACAACAGACAGCTAACAGTGGGTTGCTATGGTACTAGCACTTGCTTTTCCCTAGAGAATCTTGGGGGAGAATCAAAGTGCAAGACTGGCAGCTGGGAGAAAAACAGCCATAGAAAGAAAATAAAAAAGTACCAGAGTATGAATCTGAAGCCACAATAGCTGATCTAAAGACATTTTAAAGCCTGAGTTCCCCGTTTGGTTCTATTGCTAGTTTTAACATGCATGTATTATTGACCTCCAGCAACTCAAAAAATCAGCTTTTTCAGACAGAAAAGTGAAAAGGAGAGAGAACCAAATAGTTATTATAAGTACTGTATTGGTTATATTTGGTGGCAACGTACAGTCCTGGCCTCATAAATAAGTACATTGTGAGGGGAAAGAATGCACAGTCTTTGTCCGTGAAACATTATCATAGTTAAAGATGACTTCAAACGTACCAATAACACTTCATCACGTACTTACCGCAGACTCAGATTTCAACAGAGATTCTGCAATAACCAAACACGCCACTACTCCTCTCCTCATCGTTAAGACTCCCCCCTTTATTGCTGCTTCTCACACTTTTGAAACCGAGATCACACAGGCCTCGCTTTCAACACCACAACAAAACTACACTAGCATTTCTGATATGAGAAAACTCTGCAATAAAACCGGCGGCTGGTGGAGAGAAAAAAGTGGCACTCGGAATATAAAAGACCCCATCAGTTTATTCAAAGACACTCCACAACCACTGCTCAAAAATGTGGCAAGTCAAAAGGACGTGGAGGGCTGCATGCTGGGAGGAGAGAGGGGGAGAGAGAGGGAGAGAGAGGGGGGGAGGCAGAGCTCAAGCACCCTCAGCCTCATCTGTAAACACCGCCTGGACCTTCTCGCATCCAGATCCTCCTCCTGTCTGCAGACTGGCGTTGGTGCGGGACAGAAATAAATCCTGGAGTGATTTAAATAGAGCAGGTGTGATGTCGCAGACAGAGAGACAGAGAGACAGAGAGACAGAGAGACAGAGAGACAGAGAGAGAGAGAGAGAGAGAGAGAGAGAGAGAGACAGAGAGAGAGAGAGAGAGAGAGAGAGAGAGAGAGAGAGAGAGGACCCACGGCAGGTCACAGAGAAACTGTAACTTTCACGTTTAGCGCCCCTAGTGGCCACAAGCAACTCAGCACTGTCGCAAAAGTCAACAAACAGTCAGCCGGTGTCTTGTGTGGATGTTGCTACACCTCTCCGTTCGTAACTAAACAAAAAGACAAGTCCTTGTATGAAAGCAATGCCAACAGCACAGGCAAAATGGGCCATAACAAACCGGTGCAATAATACAGTATGCCTATAAATTAAAAGTGTTGGTATTTCATTGAATCGGTAGATGGGCTAATAGCAGCCTGTTAGCTTGTTAGCCCTAGTTAGGCAAACACATCCACAGTATAATTACGTGCAAATAGAATCAGCAAAGCAGTATCATGGGGGTATAGAATTACCACAACCAAGTTAGTTTTATGAAAGTAGGAATCTGTTACATATGCGAAATGTCTGAGATTTACACACGTAGCGCTACACACGTTAGCTTTGGTTTGTAGCCTGTTAGCTTCGTCTGCCCGTATTTTGCTTCTACTAAACAGCGAAAATAATGACACAAAGACATTTTACTGTATACTAGGAGCAAAGACTTCACTTACCAGTCTAATAACGAAGTTGAAAAAACAGAATCAGATTTACATCCAGCTTCTTCTTTCAACCTGCGCCAACGAGCAAACTCCTTTCCCAGATCGACCCTTGTTTTTCCTCGAGCACGATCCCTTTCGCGTTTCCTCTTTTTAGCCTCCTCCGAAGGTTTAAACTTTTTCCTTGCCTCAGCCATGACCAGGAGTCGAGCAGGTGAAAAATGAGTAGCAAAAGCCTTAGCTCCATGAGTATATCAGCGCCTGTAGCCGTAAAGCAAATCTTTCTTCCAAGTCACGTGACCTGGTGGCAGACGGTCCGTCTGCTCTAAACTTACATGGGCGGTATTTCAAGAGGGCAGCCCCGCTCGGAGCATTGCAAGTGTCAAGCGCTGTATATTGGCCCAAGTATTCATATAAAATAACTCATATGTGTCAACTCTTTAGGTCACAAAGTCCGCGGTGTGCCTTTAAAAACAGGTGGAGAGGTCTGACTCTCGCGGTTATTAATGCGCTTTGCTTCTAAAAGTAGAGCTCAAACCCCATTCACTGCTGCAACTGCTCTTATGGTGCTTTCAGACCGCCAACGCTGAAACGCTGAAGCCCCGCTCACCAGACGCGCATTCTTTAGTTTTCAGACGCAGAGGACTTCGCACCAGAACGTCCTGACGCGAGCCGGAAGTACCGGAAGTAGCCGGCCGGCTCTGATGCTAACAGAGCTATGCTAGCGGCTTCTTGTGTACAGAGCTTCTCCAATATGCAGCTTTGCAGCGTGTCTTTGCTCACAGACATTCCACGGGCTTTATATAACAGTAGTATGTGTTCACGGAGGTGCGCCATACGTTTTTTCATATTATTAAACGGTATTTCAGCATCGGCGAACACACTCGAAGCCGTTGCATAAGGTGAGCAGAATCCATCTCCTGTGTTCGCTCCTGCTCCTCCCCTTTGACTTTCCCGCCAAGTCTGTGCGTCATTATTGAACAGTCCGTTCGTGCGAACCGAGAGGTCCGTGCGTTGTGACGGTCGAACGCGCGCCACCATAGACTTTGCATTGAAACCCGACGCAACGCATGATCCGGTCTGAAAGCACCATTACACTGAACTAATAAACTATATATATTTGATCGCATTAATGTCATGCACGGTGGCTGAGTGACTCTCGCTTCTCAGCAAGAAGGTCCTGGATTCAAATCCCGGTCGGAACGGGGTCTTTCTGAGTGGAGTTTGCATGTCTGCTTAGGTTTCCTCCAGGTGCTCCGCTTTCCCCTTCCACTAAAATCATGTACACTAGGTAAAATCCTCCAGCTTCGGTTCTGATCCGAGCATCAACATCTGGAGATGGGTTCTCACGGCGCTGTTACTACGGCGACCACTGCTCCTGACGTAAGCCTTAGCGGCATCAGGATGGGTCAAATGCAGAGGATGAATTGTCCTACGGGGATAACTAAAGTGCACCTTTACCTTTACCTTTTAAATGTGCTTTGATTTGGTTTGAAGAGGGACAGGATGAAGAAAAAATCTATACACGCTATAAGAATTCAACCATCCCAAATGATAACATGTATAGCACTTTTTGACCACGGTAAAACTCATAATAATTATTTTAATATTATTATTATATCATTATTATTATTATTATCATCATCATTATTATCATTATCATTACCACCTAATTAAGAGAGCATTCTTTCCACTAGATGTCATAGCTGTTGCTTGCTAGCTTTAAATCCAACCAAACCAAGGCTAAGTCGATGCACCTGCAATAAAAATCCTATGATTGCGGTGAATGCTAACAATGCTAAATACTGAAGCAAACTTAGCACAGCTGTTTATGCTGCGGCTTTGGATGGAGGGCCACCTGCTCTTGACATGTGAATGGCACAAAAACAGGACGCTAATCCTTGTTAATGTATGTAAACGACGAACAAAGAGCGGCCTCCTCTTTACTCACGCAGTAAAACAAGGACTTACAATCATGCGGCTATTGTTGCCCTTAGATTAGCAGTGGGTACCAGCTGAGAGTGGCACTAGCGGCTAACTAGCAGAGCAACTTATCCTGATCTCTCATAAGCACTTTATTTCACAAATGAAAACAGTTTAAATGCTTTTGTTTAAGATTTGACCTAAAATCTTTCCTAATATTCCATTCCATTATGCTAAATTTGGAGATTTTATACTTGCTTCTTTATTATGCTAAATGTAGGGATTTCATTGTTTTATTTTTTTATAGACTTATTGGCAACAATGGTTTTATTTTACTTCCTGGCTGAATCTGCAACATATGGCAGTTACTAAGCAACCACAACGCAATGGCTAAGGCTTCGTCTAATTTACATAATTGTCTTGTCTAAATGTTTATATTTGCAGAAATGCGTGTTATTGTATGTGAAATTAAAGCTGGATAACCCAACTTTCAAAGCACAATAAAAGGAATATATGCATGTTTCTTTGGCCTTCGTCAAAGTTTGTTTTTAATGACAGAGTTGGGGAGGGGCTTTGATGCTAAAGTTAAGACATTTTATTCTATTTCAGTATAGAATTATTTTTCATGTAGCTTGTGCTGTGTGCTCCTATTCCTACTGTTCTGTAACTGGTGACGCAACACTGACATTTCCACTGAATATAAAGGATCTCTTCATCTCATGACACTTGATTGGTTAAAGATAATAAAGGTTTTACAGGTTATACAAGTCCCTTTGAGCCAAAAGTCCTCAATTATGAGCTATAAATTGGTCAAAAGCTGACATTATGAACGTTAAGTCTCCAGTAATAAGACGAAAAAAGAACCGAGGCGATAAATCAGTCTTGCACTCCCTCCGTCTTTTTGCAAATTATCCCAAAAGCCTCTAAGTTCAAAATGAGGTTATTACCAACTACAGTTACAATTTCTCTCTATTCACCAAGAATCAGCTTTGGCTTTACTTTGTTCCTGGGGTTTTAAAGAACTAATTCCATTTAAGTGCTGCAATAATTCTGCCCACGACTAAACTATAATCTGACATTTTCATCGTGGTCAGAGCCTCGTGGCAGCAACTCTCACTCACCGCCGACTGGAAGTACTCCGGAGACAGACCCTCCAGCTCCAGGATGCGGTCCTCCAACCTCTTTATCCTCTGGTAAACACCGAGAGGCACCGGCCCGGCTGTGGGGGAGGCAGAGAGGGAGAGGGGGGAGAGGAGGAGAGGGGCAGAGAGGGAGAGGGGGAGAGAGGAGGAGAGGGGCAGAGAGGGAGAGGGGGGGGGAGGGTTCACACATTTTATTGAACACAATTTCTTTGATGAAAATGATGAGTCCTGGATCTATAGCTATAGTTACAGTAACGAAACTACTTTTTCCAAGTAAAGTAACACGTTAACTATCGCCAATTTAGAAACGTAACGCTCTTTTTCTTTTCGATCCGCCGCAACGTTACTTTAAATTTACCACGGGCAGCTGTGACCACACATCTGCTGGTATTTGCGGATCAGTCCAGACTCGAGCTCAGTTCTCATTCCACAGTCTGAGAAGCAAGAGGCCGCAAGTGATGGCACAGCTCATGGCGAAGTGTTGCTGAGATCTGTGTGTCACCTGGGCAGAAGCTCAATGTGTGTGTGTGTGTGTGTGTGTGTGTGTGTGTGTCTGAGCACGCAGGTGACAAGAGCGTGCCTAGAGGTAGAGCGAGCGAGAGCTGAGAGAGCAAGGTGTATGTAAAGTTTGGTGTGTGAGCAGAGCGACCGGAGCAAGTCAGAGCAAGTGCATGGGATGTTGGTGTGTTTTGGTGAAAGAATAAAGCCCCACTCTAGAGCAACAGTCCGGTGCATTGTTATGATCGCACCACACTTTGACTGTGAGGGTCAGTACAGACAGTCACAGCCTGGAAGAAAACATCCTTTTGGTCGTGGAGTGACAAATCTCCCTTGCGCCCCTCGACCACGGTCCGGTGTCATGGTGTGGCCTTGTTTTGCCATTTGTTCTCTTGGAGTTTGAGTTTTCTTGCTGTCCTGTTGATATTTGCCCCGCCCTAATGTGATCCACCTGTGTCTCCCGGTGTGTATTTATACCCTGTGCTTTTCCTCACATGTTGTGGTCCATTGTCTCTACCACGTTTGTCCTGTCTTGTTTTCAGTTCTGGAGTTTTAGAATTTTGACATTACCTTGGATTTATATGATCAAAAACACTTTATTTTCAATCCTGCCTTTCGGGTTCCTTCACTCATCTTACCACATGACAAAGAGTAACTGAGAAAAGTTAAGTTTTAAAGTAACTTCCCCAACACTGGTCCTGGATCAGTGCCAGGACCTGCCTATCCCTCAGCGGGAGCAGAACTCTCTCAGTATGGGCCTCATCGGGTAAAAAAAAAAAAGATAAACCTTTATTCATCCCTCAATTGGGATATTTTAAAGTTGATACATCAGTCGTTCCTTGCTGACCCTGGAGGGTCTAAGGACAATGATGATTTATTACAGTGGTCATCCTGCTCCCTATGGACCAATGGCTCCTATCATTGCATTTCCTGTGTTTAAACCATTTGATTCTCTGACTAATTTTTATAAAGTCCTCCAAGACAACTGTTGTTGTGCTTTAGGGCTATACAAAAACAAGTTAAAATGTATTGAATGAGAAAAGCTATAGTGAAAACCAGATATTGTGATTATGTTGAGTAATGTAAGATACTCAATCCTATACATTTAACAGCAATTACCACAGACGTTAAAAATATGTAGTTTGTCCTGGTTCTTTGGTCTGGTTTACGTTGGAAGAATTTACGAGTCCAGGTTGTTTCACAGAACAAGCACAGGAACACAGCAGACTCCACTCTACTCAAGGCCGACAATAAGTGACTCATAAACCGATCTCATAATAGCAGCTTTATTTCAGAGCACTTTCTTAGTAACGCGACAGCAATTAATCTAATGAATCAAATGAAAAGGCTGCAGCTCTTTCAGCCGCTCAGAGCGAGTGGTTAGTAACTGACCTGAAGGCGGCTTCAGATCCACTCTGCGTCGGTTTGTGAGAACAGAAGCATTAGATCTGAGCGAAACGTATGAGCTTCAATGACTCTAATGACTTTAAGAATTATGTATCCATTCATCTTAGCGTGGATGATGGATTTTACAATTCAATTTAATGTATAATTGTATAGCTCTAAAAACACAACAGTAGTTATCTCAGAGGACTTTGAAGACTCTGAGGAGCACAGGGACTGGCCTCCTTCTTATTTATAAATAAAACTATACAAAACAATTTGGGGAGAGAGAATTCACTGCTGCTTGGTCTTTTCCATCCTTGTGTCATCAAGTATCAATGATGTATGATTCATTTCTATTCCACATCGAGTTTACAACATGATGTTTTACTTGAACGTGAGAAAACATAATAAACCGGAAGATCAAAGGAAGGTTTCTCACCCATCATCTGTACTTCTTAGCAAGTTTTCCCGACGTTTCGTCCTCAACCTGGGGACTTCTTCAGGGAATGATTCATTCCCTGAAGAAGTCCCCAGGTTGAGGACGAAACGTCGGGAAAACTTGCTAAGAAGTACAGATGATGGGTGAGAAACCTTCCTTTGCTTTGACTAATCCCTGTACGACTGAGGGCTTACACAAACAAACCGGAAGATATAGAACAAAAGAGTCCAATATTGTCTGAACGATTTGAGGATTTATTTCACATTTTTTTACATCAGTGTCTCAGCTGAGTTCTAGACGTTTTTGTCACGTTCGCTTTTTTGTCGACGGATTCAGTGTTTCCCAACCTGAGGTATATGGACCCCTGGGATGGCTCGGTGGCTGAGTGGTTAGTGCTTTCGCTTCTCAGCAGGAAGGTCAGAACAGGGCCTTTCTGAGTGGAGTTTGCATGTTCTTCCTGTGTAGGTTTCCTCCGGGTGCTCATATTTCCCCTACCACTAAAATCATGTACAATAGCCTTGGCAAGCGCCTCCTGTACTGGCGACCCCGCACCAATCTCAGTGTGGAGTGAGAGACAAATGCCCACAATTGTAAAGCGCGTTGTTACTCTGGTCTGTGAAAGGCGCTATATAAATAAAGATGTCCTACCTACTTACTCACTCGTGAAATGTGAGGGTATTAAAAAGGGGGAATTCAAATTCTTCTCAAAACGCTGACAGGTGAATATGGGTTCCTTCGTTGGTCTGTTTTTATTAGAGTTTCACAAGTTGGACACAGAGGTACAGATCAGAATGGCAAGTAAAGCAAGAGAAAATACATAGATAAAAAAGCAGGAGAAGAAGGCGGAGGCCAAACTTGTAACGCCTACCTCTGACTTCCATTAGTTATAATCAAAGTGTGTTTGGTCACGAAAAAAATTAGTTTGAGCTCCTATGGCATGTCTTTTTAAAACAGTTTACCAACATATCAGTAGCATCTAGACCTTTTGAGAAGAACAATAAAAGTCAATTCAATTTGTGTTTTGTATAGAGGAAACAGTTCAAATTGCAACAATACGAAACATAAAGCCATTGGTCCAAAAAGAGAGCAAGTTATATTAAAGTGAAGGAATCATTTGGTAAAAGTACCTACAGAGTTAATAACAAAAAAGCTTTTCACAAACAGAACAATCCGGATGTTGGTTTAAACATAAAGCCTAAACTCAGCTGCCACTGACATTGAACTTTCCACGGATAAAGGTTTATCTTATCGTGTCCATTGTGTGTCTTTTGTGCACATATAGCAGTAATTTGAAGAAATATTCTGTACATTATTGCCTTACTTGTTGCTTTATCTAAACCAAGAGCCAGGGTATTGTCCTAGTTTGTAAATTTCTGATGTTCTCTTACCTGGAGGCAGTTTGAGATGGGCTTCGATGTTCTGGAGCCGCTCCTCGATGGCCGCGTTGCCGCAGTCCTGGGGCGCGGCCGGACCCCGCGAAGCCGGACCCTCAGTCCCGCTGGAGCCCATCAGGGTCTGGGGGCCGTACGTGTTCACCACCCGGGTCACTGGAAGGACATGGACTGTCAACAATCCTATGCAGTCAACTATACGCTGCTTCCTCTTCGTCTGGACAGGGTCTATGGTACTTTAATCTAATCATTTGGGATCTAAAACGCAGGAGAGCCAACCAACACACTAACCCAAACACTGCATTCAATAATAACAATAATACTAATAATAATACTAATATCTATTAAAATCTGTATATTTCAGGTCTGGTAATCAGATGTGGCATTACTGGCCTGTGATTGGATATAATTATGTCTAATTGTAAAAAAAAGTGACTGAAACACAATTGTGAAAACAAGTCTGCCTCAAATGTCAGGGTGACATTTGCAGCGTGTGTTTGTACCTTTGACGTGGCTCTTAAAGCCGGGGTACGGCGTGAACACGGCGTCTGTTCTGGCGCAGCTGTTTTCTAAAGAGAGGAGACATTTGAGACTTAATCAGATGCAGCAGCTTTAATTACATGCATTTTAGGACAAATGTATAAACGTATAGAAACGTGTGAGGAGTGAGGGCTGGCGTCTGCGAGCCCTGATTCCTCCAACACCGGAAAAATAAGATACAACCGGAGAAAACGTGCAATGTCATATATGTGCTTTTGAATACTAAAGGGTGCAAACGCGTGACATTTTTAATAATTAGAAGAAATATAAATGTTTTTTACATATTTATCCAAATACCTCTTCTGTCCATTAGTAGTTTCTAGAAGATAGCAGTTTAATACGTTAGTAAAACTTTCCATGGCGGCTGTGTTCTTCTGTGTCACTGATCGACAGAATGAGCTGCGGAAGTTTGTTACATATTTTCAGATGTCCATATTTGATTAATAGATTCTTTTTCAAGGGTCATTTACATTTTACTGATTATTTGTCAAAAATGATTTATTTTTAAATGAAGTGATTTCCTGATGTTGTGTTAGCATGTTAATCTGTGAGAGTTCATCTGCTGCTCTGTCACTGATGAGCTTTTATTTTTTATCACTGTAGAATTATCAAATCAGAGGCTGATCTGGTCTTTTAACGTCTCACCAAAAATGTATTTGTTGAGGACAATGAGGACTAATGAACATTACCGACCTGACCTCGCATGCAGCACATCTGTGCAACAATTTGAAATCATGTTAAAATGTGCAATATTTTGTGTAACATGTACAGTAGTGTCACATGTGGCTAACAAGTACAGTAGTATTACATGTGGCTAACATGTACAGTAGTATCACATGCAAACATGTACGGTAGTATCACATGCTAACATGTACAGCAGTATCACATGCAAACATGTACAGTAGTATCACATGCAAACATGTACAGTAGTATCACATGCAAACATGTACAGTAGTATCACATGCTAACATGTACAGTAGTATCACATGCAAACATGTACAGTAGTATCACATGCAAACATGTACGGTAGTATCACATGTGGCTAACATGTACAGTAGTATCACATGTGGCTAAAATGTACAGTAGTATCACATGCTAACATGTACAGTAGTATCACATGCTAACATGTACAGTAGTATCACATGCAAACATGTACGGTAGTATCACATGCAAACATGTACAGTAGTATCACATGTGGCTAACATGTACAGTAGTATCACATGTGGCTAACATGTACAGTAGTATCACATGCTAACATGTACGGTAGTATCACATGTGGCTAACATGTACAGTAGTATCACATGCTAACATGTACGGTAGTATCACATGCAAACATGTACAGTAGTATCACATGTGGCTAACATGTACAGTAGTATCACATGCTAACATGTACAGTAGTATCACATGCTAACATGTACAGTAGTATCACATGCTAACATGTACGGTAGTATCACATGCTAACATGTACAGCAGTATCACATGCAAACATGTACAGTAGTATCACATGCAAACATGTACAGTAGTATCACATGCTAACATGTACAGTAGTATCACATGCAAACATGTACAGTAGTATCACGTACAGTAGTATCACATGCTAACATGTACGGTAGTATCACATGCAAACATGTACAGTAGTATCACATGCTAACATGTACAGTAGTATCACATGCTAACATGTACAGTAGTATCACATGCTAACATGTACAGTAGTATCATTATTATTGGAACCCTCAGAGCTATTGACTCACAATCTTAATATTCCTGCACGAGAGTGTAGATGAGTGAGTGTATTACAGATGTATACTGTACATAGTGCATTGCATACCACTAGAATATACCGAATTGTATATGTTGCTCTGAAGATAAAGATAGATATGTTATTTTATTTTAATGATTTCAATAAATCATGTCTTAATTTCAATCTTAATTTTAATTATAATGTTAGTATTAGATAGCAATATGGCCTACGTGCAGGACTGTACAAGGACTCCATGTTATGACTATGATTTGACTGTCTCTTTGTGACACGTATGTCTTTCGATGTGTGACGTGACAATGACTATATAAACTGTGTACTGCCTTTATTCTGTCTGAGAGAAAGAAACAAAGTAAACCAGTGGAACTTGAGAGAAACTTAAATAAACTTCCAGAGTTTGGCACACCACGATCCGTCTCTCTCTGCCTAAATCCTAACAGATTTGGTGGAGAATGCGCGGCTCGGTTTGTGCCATTCTCTGGATTGTTTTGAGGGAGTTTTCTTTGTTTCTTTTTCTCGGCGTGGGAGAGCTGAGAGTGTCTGGGGCCTGGGAGCGGTCCAGCAGGCTGGAGAGGCGACCGGCTCCGGGACTCTTTTTCGCTGTCTCACTATATGTTTTTGTGTCCTGTTTTTTGGACTTAGCGTTTAAAATTGTTTTCCCATGTCCACATTCCGGGGATTTTTGACGTGCGATTGGTCTCTGCCGATGGAAACTAGTTCCCGGTACTAGTGAGCGCTGGTTCATGATCTGGAGACCTGGTTGGACGTGGAAAAGCTGATATTTGGTGGACTTCTGACGGTGCCTGGCGCCCTTTTCAACAAAAGGTAAGAGCGGACACCTGTTTATTTAAAGTCTGCTAATTGAGTGAACTGAATTATGGTCTGTTTTGAGGTCTGCCAAATGTCATGTATCTATAGATCAGATTAGATTAAAAACAGGTTCGCTACCTGACGGGGTTAGAGTCCCTTTGAGAAGAAGTCTCGAGGTTAGAGTCCCTTTGAGAAGAAGTCTCGGGGTTAGAGTCCCTTTGAGAAGAAGCTTCAGGGTTAGAGTCCCTTTGAGAAAACGTTTTCGGGGTTAGAGTCCCTTTGAGAAAAGATAATGTGTAGGATCCTTAGTGAAACCATGGTGTAAACATAAAAGCAATAGAAAGGGAAATGTGTTAAAGAGGCCTTTGTTACAAAAGCTTTGAAATTGACGAATTTCAGGCTGATAAATGACAAAAGTAAAGAAGCAACAATATTTCAGTGATCACGGTTTAAATTACATACAGAAAAAGGGAGTGTTTTGTTTTTTAGTTTGTTTTTGGAGTGAACAGAGTTCACCGGAGAATGCAGAGTTTTATCTAAAGTTGAGCTATGAGAGCTTTCGTGAGTTATTTACATTTTTTGCCGAGTTTTATCTACAGATAAGCTATGAGAGGGTTGTATCCAACAGTTGTTTTTGTTTTTTAGAAAGAGATTTTGAGTTTAAACTAGTTTGCTACCTCAAAAAAAAATAGAAGCGTAAGGGAAATTAAAGAGTAAGAGTTGCTTTTGTTACTAGTGTGGAAAGTGATCACTTCTAGACTTGGATGACAAAAGTATGAACTACAAGTTATATTCGCTTAAAAAAGTAATCTTGAAAGTTCTTCTTCTTTCTGTTTTGGCATTTTTGCTAAAACACTACTTTCTGCCTGTGTGCGCCGCACTATCTTGCTGCCGTTGTCAGGGAAACGGCCCCCTCCTTCGCTGCTCTGGCTCTGAATCAGAGCAAAGCTACTGCTTTAGGATTTCTGGCTTTTCATAGTTGTTATTCCGTTAAATTTGCTAAATTTGCCATTGAACATTGTGTTATGACACAGTTAAACGTTTTTAAACACAATTAGTGAATAAGTTTTGAATATTATATGTTTTTTTTTTAAACCCAAATATTAGTGCTAAAGCTGTGCAATTCTTTTTAGACCTAACATATTTCTAGATTCCATTCTTTTAAATCTGCTGCTTATTTCTTAACTTTTTGTGAGTTGTGTTTGTTTTTATGTTTTTATTTTAGTTACAAAAGCCGTTTTTCAAACATTTAAATTAGAATCTGAGTTAAAAGTGATTATTGATTATAGACTTCGTCTAAAAAAGAAAGAGGGAATTATATTATTAAGTTGAACTGTACCCAATTCACCCAATTCACATTCAAGTGGTGACTTTTGTTTTTGTTTTGACTACACGCCTGACCTTCCTCCTGCTGCTGATGCCACAGCAGAGGAGACTGGCTCTAAAATGTGCTCCAATTCATATTGACTTCATTTGAAAAATGCTGCAATTATTTTAAATTAGTAGAATAGATGCTGAGATAAATAAGTGTAAAAGGGAAAGTCCATAAAGTGAAACCCAAGGATGTTCAAGATAATTAAACACACAGTACAAAAGTACACATATTTTAAAGTTTAAAAAGGTTTTTTTAGATTTGAGTCTTGTTTTTAATTAAGAGAGTTTCTGGTCTTAAAAATGTCATCATTAGTAAGATAATAAGTAATCTTTATTTACATAGCGCATGTTGGAAAGCCAAGAGCGCTCCAAAATTGTTGTGACTTTAGGGAGAAAAACAATCTCATTCGCATACTGATATCTATTGTTTTTTAAATTGGCCGTCTCAAGGATTGTTTTTCAGACTCTGGCACACTGTACGAGAGGTCACTGCTGGACACTGGACAGCAAAGCCCACCCAGCCACAGGTCACAGATCAAAGAGCAAAGGGAAATGCCACCTCCTTGCCCCTCCCCACGCCACTCCAGAGCTGAGTGGGTGTGAGAGAGACCGGGGTAGAGAGAGGTATCTGGAGACGTGATGGGTGGAGCATCAGGGAGAGACCTGAAGGAGAGTTGAGAGTGTGTCCAGTTGGTTTACATCACCACAGTGTGACCTTTGAGACCTACGGGTGGTTCGAGGAGTCTGGAGACACAACCCCAAAATTCACACCCTACATACACACACACACACACACAATCATACATACATCTACACACTCACACATTCACATTTACATATAGATACATGAAAAAGCAGAACATGAGAAAAAAGCATTTTAAAAGTTTACTCCAATGTAAACACATTTTTAATTGTCTATCACTTGAAACTTTATTTGAATCAGTATTTTTTTGAGACCAGAAATGTTCATTTGAATTCTATATTGGCATGGACTTAATTGATGTCTGTCCTGACACTTTTGATTTGTTGATTTTGTACTGTGTGAAGTAATTACATTGATTAGAATTAGATCTGATAAAAACACAAATTAGAGAAGTAAACTGAATCATTGCGCTTGCCTTTTGTCTGAGAGACATTAGCAACAGCATGAATTGAAATTGTCTTTACAGTAGAATCAAAGTGACTTAACCATAGAGAGTAACTACTGCATAACAAGCTGTGTACAGGAACTGTGACACTGCACCATTGACCAGAAGTGCATCGCAAATGACCTGATGTGCTTCAAGTGAAAAGACTGTATCTGGAGATCCTGATGTGCATCTGGAGACCAAAACCATGGCTTGGACCCTACTGATGTCCAAGATGACATCTCTCGAAATATGACCTGACCTGATGACGACTGAGACTCACCCTCAGAGGACCCTGAGGACCTGAGGACCCTGAGGACCTGAGGACCTGAGAGAAAAAACTGGGGAGTGATGTTTATATTTCTAAAATCATACCATTGATGAGTGCTAAATGAGAGAGATACTCATGATTCTTTCTTTTGTTTTTGTTTGTCCCTAGCTTCTGGACATCTGATGATCTATTGGACACAGCCATTTGCAGAACAAGAACCAGCCAACGAAAATCGTCTATTGCCGATGCTATTGCTACAACCAGAACCTGTGACCAAATGCAATATACATGTTAAGTATTCAGACATCTGACAGACAAAAACTTTGACTTTTTAGTCTGGGAGACTGAGCAACTGTTAAAACTTTGAAAATGATAAAGTATGAGTATTGTAGCGTTTTAGTAGATGTTAAATAGTAGTAAAAAAGTAGAATTTGATTTCCTTTGTTGTTCATAAACACATTTCAACGTAAGAATTAAAATAGTAGCATACAATGTTATCCTTTTGATAGATCAGCTATAATATTAGAATCAGAATCATGTTACAGCCATTAAAAGTGACAGAAGTCACAAACTAGAAATATGCCTTGACTTAAGCTGCAACCGAGCTTTGGAGTCACAATAGTGTAGAAATAGAATTAGATAAATGCATCAACCATAGATGCTTTCAAAAATAGAGAATATTTGTAGCCAGTGCTAATATCAAATGGTAAAGGGACCATTTCACAAACATTTACTTCAAAAGTAGATAAAGTTAATTACAGTTTTATGTACAGTTTTATTAGATACTTGCCACATTCACTTGTGTTCACACATGAGTGAATGTTGACAATACAAAAAGTTCATGAAAGTATCTTAGATCAATGAGATAGATTAGCACCAACAGAGATTCAAAAGCATTTTGATGTATTTGTGTGTAGCACAAAAACAGTATAGTAGATATTTAGATATTGAGAAGTTTAAAAGTTGTTGATTCGCCAGCACAGATTAGAGAATCAAACACCATTGTAGAATAACTGACCCCAAACCTGCTAAAATAGATTAGCTCTTGTAAGGATAATACCAATTTGATTATTGATGTACAATCATCCCAAACTACCTGAGAGGTGGAAGTGACAGCACTTCCTGGTTCAACAAATGTATTTGGAAAACTGACCGCCATAATAATGTTCATATTAACCATTGTCTTACTGTGTTCACAGTTTTATTCCTGAGAATGAGAGTAGACATAGAGCAAAATCCCACTAATAATATGCCACTGATAATGAGAGTATAAAACCATAGAGAGATTTATTAGATTAAAATGTATGTTTAAGAATATGGCTCAATAAAAGCAAATATGCAAACATATTTGTAAATAGATTAGAATAGTTTTAAACTATAGTGAATAATGAAAGTAAAGTACACAGTAAGATTGAAAAGTGAAAATAATTAAGTGTAGTGTAAACAATTATCATTAGAATAATAGTAGAGTAATAAAAGTGAAATTAGCTTCTAATTGAGACTCAGCTCGTTTTTGTCTGTGTTTTGACTGAATCTGCTGAGTTCTTGTGTGTCCAATAGTGTTTGTTTGTTTTTATTTTTGATTTGTTTTTTGTTTATTTATTTACTTTATTTTTGTTTATTTTTTCCCAGGATAGAGGATAAAATCCACTGATATTGATTTGGATGATTATGAGTTTAAACAATTTTTAAAAAGTTTTTTTTTTAGATTTTTTTTTTTTTTTCTTTTTCTACTTTATTGATTGATCGATTTGAGTGATCACATGTGATTATGTGATCAAAGGGGAGGGTGTTAGTATTAGATAGCAATATGGCCTACGTGCAGGACTGTACAAGGACTCCATGTTATGACTATGATGTGACTGTCTCTTTGTGACACGTATGTCTTTCGATGTGTGACGTGACAATGACTATATAAACTGTGTACTGCCTTTATTCTGTCTGAGAGAAAGAAACAAAGTAAACCAGTGGAACTTGAGAGAAACGTAAATAAACTTCCAGAGTTTGGCACACCACGACCCGTCTCTGTCTGCTGAATCCTAACAATAATCTTAATCTTAATATTAGCAAGAGGATGGAAAGGCCTGTGTGCGGCGGCTTCTGTTCGCTCCTTCAGCCCACTCTGCTGCAGCACGGCCTGACCTCTTGCCTGCGGAAATCAGCTCTCTCCCAAACATTGGCAATCTGAGCCTCACCCGCACTCCACCCCCTCCCACACCCCCTCCCTCCCTCTCTCCCTCACCCCTTCTCCTCCTCACCCTGATTGCAGTCGATCACGTTGCAAAACTCTCGTACATTGTTTTCATTGATCTCCATCTGCTTGCGCTCCATAAATGCAGATATCCTCCGCTCGATCTGGGGATTACAAAACGGCAGAGACAGCGGCTGTAATAAGATGAAATGCCCTGATGCACTGCCCTCCCCCACATCCTCCCCCTTTGATAGGTGTCAAGAATGCATTTTTTTGGGAGGCCACTTCATCGTAATGGCCAGACGCAAACACAGGGACAGCAATTGAAGTTAAACGCTAACACACGAGAGACCTGACGAACGCTTTTGAACAGGTGGATCTCTTTCTGGTCTCTTTCTCTCTCTCTGGGTTCTCTCTCTCTTTCTCTCTGGCCTCAAATAAAAAACAAATAAACAATAGTAGAATTTGCAAGCCGTTATTGCGTGGGAGAAATATGAATACTGTTTGCTCGGCTACCAAAATAAATGCACAAACAGAATAGGGCCCTCTTGTACTTCATCCACATGCAATCTCAGAGTAATGAGCATCCACTCCATCATCTATCAAGGGCCTGGCTCTCTCTCAAAGCCCTCCATCGATGCTCCACGATGGCCGAGCATTGCAAAAAAATCCCAACTCCTCGTATTCTACTCTGCAGCGACTTGGCTTTTTATCAGATTGCCGTCTTCTCCTCCGCTCCACATCCTCTGCGGCAATTACTCGAGATTATTCATTGGCTTGAGATGAAGTAAAGTGGTTTTTTTTATCAGAGAGACAGACAGACAGAGATGACACCCATCTCCAGCTTCCCGGCTCGGATCTGGACCATGACATCATCGTGTTGGGATAAACCACAACCAGTGATTCTCTAGCAAAAGACTGGACTAAGCAGTGCTGTGCTTCTTCTATTTACGTGGGTTTGGTGGAAATTAGTCTCTCTCAGAGGACTATTGTTGTTCCTCATAACACCCACCTCATTTTGTCTTCTGCACAAAAGTTGGGATTACCCAAATGTCTTTGCATATTTAAAAATACATTTTATCCATCACAATATCTGACTCTGAACATTGTAAAGCGCTTTGGGTGACCTTAGTCTGTAAAATGCGCTATATAAATAAACATTACATTACATTACATGCTTGTGTGATGCATCATTATAAAGCTAGAGCCTTTTAGTTTATGTAAATATACACAAGAATAATCTCATTTCTATTTCACTCTGCGTCCTCTGAAGTATTTTTTTTGTCTCGCCTTAAATATTAAATTTATAAAAACGCTAACAAAGGCATACTTCATTGTAAGCTCAAAATATGGTAATTTTGTTGTTGGCAACAACTGTCTGAAGTTTCACACCTCTAGGTTTTATAGTTTTGATGCTCTTGCCATTTTACATAAACTTGTGCTTTTCGGTTTTATTTGGCGCACTTTGTGCCAATATGTGCAACATTTTTTAAGTTCAAATTTTAGGTCTTCCATCATCTTAAAACACAAATGTTTATGTTTTGGTGCTTAAAAGCTACCTTCCTGTATGATTTAAATACAGTTTTTCTTAGTTTATATGTTTTATCATGGTATAATTACATGCTGCGTAAAACATGCTTCTTTTCTTGTGCTTTTTGCCTCCTTAGGCACTGTTTCTTAAAGGTCAGGGGTAAAAATACCTGGTCTCACCAGTTGTTTAAAAGCGATCGTCATAGGCTGTTTAGATATCAATCATTTGGCCATACAACGTCTTCCGAGCACGATAGGTTGCGTGGAACCGTCAATGTTGCTACCGCTAAACCGGCTACGAGGCTTGAGATTTGTGTACAAATGGCTGCTATTAAAAAAAACTGCACGGATCCAATGTCTCACTGGTTAGCTAAGAAGAAGAGGAACACGAGCAAAGGACTTGTTGGATCCCTGACACCCACCTCTGACTTCCCAGCTCGGATTTGGACCATGACATCATCGTGTTGGCTCTCTTTGGCGGAGGAGGAAGTGAGGCAGTGGAGTGGGGGTGATGTAATGGAGGATGAGGCACTGGGGTCGGGGTCCAGCACGGCCCTCAGGCTTTGGGAAACGGCCTACGGAGAGAACAGTGTTTAGAGCTGAATGAGCTGCGGCTGTGGGGGGTCCTCTCCATGAGTGAGGAAAATCTACTTTCCGTTTTCAGCCTCGAGAATCTATATTTTTGTGACGTGAAATGTGTGAAGCTATAGAAATTATTCAGTGCAATTCAATGTATTTGCAAATTAGCCTACATCACAGCAGCAGTTGTCTCTGAGGAGTTTTTGTCAATTCGCCAACAACAGAGCAGAGAATCAAACCGTTTGAACGGGAAATGCAATAATAACACATAGAAGCCATTGGTCTATAAAGAGCAGTTTGACCACTGTAAGGAAATGTAAATAATTGTCTCGGATCAGCTCTGTCCTTCCACACTTCTGCATCGGCAAGGGTTGAATAAAAAAACGTATCAAGAGGGAGAAAAGTGAGAAGGAGACCTCGAGGAGACCCATTTGAGAGAAGAGAGAAAGATCTGCTCCCACTGCCTGTCAGTGGTAGATCCAGGACTGAGGCTGTAGATCCAGGACTGAGGCTGTAGATCCAGGACTGAGGCTGTATCTGGAATTGACCCCTGACCAAACAGTGGCTACTCTCACTTAACCCGGCAACACACTTAGTAAAGCATGTGTATGTGTGTGCGTGTGCGTAGTAATATAGTATTGTCTAGACTGTATTTTAAATTGAATTAGGCTGAAAACTGATAATTTTAGTCTAAAAAGCCTTTTTTCAAATTGCACTTCTGTATCCTGTTTACAAATGGGAGCTAGCATATTGGCTTAAACCAGCTCATGACATTTACAATAGGTTTTTTGCGCATTGTCCCTCATCAAATAAATAAACCCAATTTATCCGGCAAAACCACGGCAGGTTTTAGCACGTGGTAATGGTAGATGACAGATCCAAAGTGGTTTCGCAGTGACAATGACGTGGTTCTGTCTGTTACCTGCAGTTTGGAGACGTGTCGTTGTAAACAGCTGTAAACGTGAGCCGCAGAGGAAGACGTCAGGTCCACCGCCTCCGTTTCTACGTGAATTCTCAACGCAGCGTCTCCAAAATTTAGCTAAAATAAATACAATGTTTTTCAGTTTTTCAGAAATAATCTCAGTTGAAGACAAACCACAATTAGTGATTCTCTAGAAAAAGGGAAAAGAGACAGGATTAAGCATTGCTGTGGATGGTATTGTTTTATTTTTCTTCTTCTGTGTTTTACGTACATGGACTGTGGGTCTGTGAACATGACACTATCTAGCATAGTTTCTGTTATCGTTTTATTTTGTTTATTTAAGTAGGGACACAGAAAACATAGGCAAACTTTGTACAACAGTCAAATGGTACTTCTTAAATCTAATTCACTGCACTTGTCCCTATATTTAGACATACGGTAGGAACCTTTTTTACAACATGAAAAGCACACTATTCTAAAATAAATAAATAATCTACAGTGTTAGTGTACACACAATGGAATACTTTTGTTTTTTCTCCCACAGTACTTGTCTTTGAGACATCATGGCCAAAACATAATTTCCACAATAAAAAACAAAATGCGTAGCGCTGCACACAATTGTAGTAGTCTAAATTAAATATTTAAGACCTTAACTGAACACAATAATAAAACTATGAAGGGTAAATAACTGTTAAAAGTCACAAGAAACACTCAACTGGAGGTAATATCGACCTGTTTAAATCAAATACAGTGACGCTAACGGACTGCTGATGAATGAATGAGACTGATGCTAAAAACATTAGCATTAGCCGTTAGCATCGGTCCGACATCCTCAACACATCCTCTAATATATGAACCTGACGTGAAATAAAAATGGATAACTAACCTCTTTCTCAAACTCTGTGATCCCCCGAAGCATCTGCACCACACAGTCTTTGAAACTGGACATGATTCTTTTGGTTTTATCATGAAATGTTTCTGTTGTGGTTTTCAGCTGCAGCCTCCGCACTGCCACAGCACTTCCGCATACACACACATACAGAGCGCTGATTGGATCTTCGGCCACATACGTCACTGAAGTATAATGAGAGTAATACAAATGACCATTATAACTAAGATAAAAGTTACAATAATGCTGGATTTGAACTGACATGAACAAGATCTAAAGCAAAGATTTAGACTGGAAGGAAAAATATCTTCATGGTCACTATAGGTTTAGATAAGATTAAGATTAAGATTAAGAGATCCTTTATTTGTCCCACAGTGGGGAAATTTCGGTGTTGCATCACAGGTTATAGAACAGTAGGAAAGAGGAGCACACGGCACACGTTAAGTGAACAATAGCTATACTAATCAAAATAAAAACAATCTAACACTAGCATCAATAATAAGTATAAAATCTCTATCTTGAAAATATAATTGATGTAAAAACTTAACATTTGACAAAATAAGAGGCAAGTATAAAGTACTGTGTAATCTAGTGCAAGTAAAGTGTAGTTATATGTTAGAATCTGTACATTAGCGGCAGTACTGTACGTTTACATCTGTACATTAGCAGCAGTATGTTTACATCTGTACATTAGCAGCAGTATGTTTACATCTGTACATTAGCAGCAGTATGTTTACATCTGTACATTAGCAGCAGTATGTTTACATCTGTACATTAGCAGCAGTATGTTTACATCTGTACATTAGCAGCGGTATGTTTACATCTGTACATTAGCAGCAGTATGTTTACAACTGTATATTGGCAGCTGTATATCGCACATTCTGGTATAAGATAAGGATATTGCAACAATGCGAGAATGACACGTGGAATCAAGTTGGCAGTGTTCATTAGTCCTTATTGTTTGTTGTACAGTCTGACAGCAGCAGGAAGGAAAGACCTGTGGAACCTCTCCTTCACACATCGAGAGTGAATAAGTCTTTGGTCCCCAGAAACAAAGAGAGAGCGTCATCTGTCATCTACAGTCTCTCTCCCTAAAACCTTCAAACAAGGTCAGAAATCTAGGGGTAATACTGGACTCAGACTTAAATTTTAATAGCTACATCAAATCAGTAACATCAGCAGCTTTTTACCATCTAAAAAACATTGCCAGGATCAAAAACATAGTGTCTAAAGCAGACTTGGAGATTCTTATCCATGCATTTGTCTCCAGTAGGTTAGACTACTGCAATGGCCTGCTCACAGGTCTGTCCAAACAGGCTGTAAAACAGCTGCAGTACATTCAAAATGCAGCAGCTCGAGTCCTGACTAGAACCAGGAAGTACGACCACATTAGTCCAGTCCTCAGGTCTCTGCACTGGCTTCCTGTGGCTCAGAGAATAGACTTTAAAACAGCTCTGCTTGTGTACAAATCTCTCCATGGCCTCGCACCAAAATATATTAGTGACATGTTAGTCCCATATGAACCAGCCCGGACTCTGAGGAGCACAGGGACTGGACTCCTGTTAGTGCCCAGAGTCAGAACTAAACATGGGGAGGCTGCTTTTCAGATTCATGCTGCTAAAATCTGGAACAATCTTCCTGAAGATGTGAGACAGGCCTCCTCTCTGACAATGTTTAAAACCAGGTTAAAAACAGTTCTGTTTAGCTGTGCATACAACTGAGGGATTTTATATTTTTATCTTTATTTTTAATGTTCTGTGATTATTTATGATTTTAATGCTATCTTGTTCAGCACTTTGAGTTGCCTTGTGTATGAAGTGCTATAAACTTGCCTTGCCTTGCCTTAAGTCTGTCACTGAAGCTGCTCTCCAGAGCAGAGAGAGTGACCTGCAGGGGGTGACAGTCATGGTCCAGCATAGATGTTAGTTTGTCCAGGACCCTCCTGTCCCCCACCTGCTGCACTGTGTCCAGGGAACAGCCCAGGACTGAGCTGGACTTCCTGATGACCTTGTCCAGCTTCTTCCTGTCCCTCTCAGTGATGCTGCTGTTCCAGCAGACCACACCACAGAGTCATAGGTCTTTAGGAGTGGCCCCTGCACTCCAAAAGACCTGAGCTTCCTCAGCAGGTAAAGTCGGCTCTGGCCCTTCTTGAAGAGAGTGTGTGTGTTATGAGTCCAGTCCAGTCTGTGGTTCAGATGAACACCCAGGTACTTGTAAGAGTCCACTCTCTCACTGTGCTTTCCCTGGATGTTCACTGGGGCTGGAGCGGCAGAGAGACGTCTGCGGATCCACCATCTCCTTGGTCTTCCCCGTGTTGATGAGGAGGTGGTTCCGCTGACACCAGTCCACAAAGTCCTGTATAACTCCTCTGTACTCTGTGTCATCGTCCTCGGAGCTGAGTCCGATGATGGCAGAGTCGTTGGAGAACTTCAGTTGGACACAACCGTCCGTGTTGTGTCTGAAGTCCACAGTGTAGAGGGTGAAGAGGAACAGATAAGAGAAGATACAACTTTAATGATCTCACAGTGGAGAAATGAACATGCTACATTGGCTTCAATGCAATAACTCAGGGCTAGAAAATGTGCAACTATTTCAAGTGAAACAGATAGAGGGTATGTTATGTGCAATAAAGGTATTTTGTATACAATTTAAAAGTGAAACTGTGCAAAGTTTTCAGTGCTAGGTTGTGTTTCATTTACTTTAATTTAATCAACTCAATCACTCATTTCAGCCAAAAGTCAGATCACAACAATAGTTCTTGAAATAAGACTAAATGGCTTTGTCCCGTTGTAGAATCATATTGTTTAAAACAGTCATAAGGCGCTCGGATTAATATAAAAAAAACGCTCGATTCAAGCAATTAGTACCTTATATTTCATCAAAAGAGCTGTCAATTAGACTGCCCATAATATTTGCAGATTTTTATTTGAGACCGGATGATATGCTGTCAATACACCTCAAATTTGGTGACTCAGGTCTCTCTCTGGTCTCTCACTCTCTATTTGCTCTCTCTCTCTCTCTCTCTCTTGTCTCTCTCTGGTCTCTCACTCTTTGGTCTCTCTTTGGTCTCTCTGTCTCTTTCTCTCTGGTCTCTTTCTTTTTGGTCTCTTTGGTCTCCCTCTCTTTGGTCTCTCTGGTCTCTCTCTTTGGTCTCTCTCTGGTCTCTCTATGGTCTCTCTCTTGTTTCTCTCTCTCTTGTCTCTCCCTCTGGTCTCTCCCTGGTCTTTCAATAGTTTTTTGAGACCAGATGAAATGCTGTGAAATCACCTCAGACTAATTTGCGCCATGGCCTTGTCACAAATGCCACACAACCTGCTGTCAGCTGACCTTGGCTCTCCCGGTCCTGCTGAATGAGGGGTCAGTCCCTCATAAGCGCATTGTCCCAACAGGAGCCAATAGTGGACTGTGCACTGGCTCCTGGATGGGAACCTCAGCCACAAAGACCTATTTTCCGAGCTGAGTGACTGTGGGAACATGCGCCTCTGCCATTCACCATTTCTCCTGCTTTTCTTTATAATGAAAAACACAGGGACAATCAGTGTGCGCGCCGAAAAAAGCAGCTCGCGGCACTCAAATCTCAATAATGCGCTCTCCAAAGGGTTAATCATTTTCGGAAGACAAGCCCTTTTGGTTTGAATTCATTTCTGGGGAGATATTTTTTCCGCTGTGAGACGGAAAGGGGACTGTAACACTTGACACGGCTGACATGCTGAGCAGGCGCCAATGTTCCCTCACAGTCAGAGTTCACCGCCGACAGAAAAGCCACAAAACTGCTCATTTATTTGAGCCGCACTGTATTAAGTCACGCACAAAGGTTAGCTGGTTATAGCCGCTGAATGCAGATACTATAACCGGCATTTAGCGAGTTATGTTTGGGTATAATGGGGTATTTCTACTTCAGTGTTTTGCAGTGATGTTGCAAATGAGACGAGACATATATGCAAAGTTGCCTTTTAATTCAGTTCAATTCAGTGTATTTTTGTATAGCACTAAGTCACAACAGTAGTAATCCCGGAGGACTTAACAAAACCATTGAAATTGTCAACACAGATCAGAGAATCAAACAGTTCAATTACAAGAAAGGCAAATACATAGAGCCACAGGTGACCAGTGTCCATAAATGTTATTGAATGTGGAGGGTCCTGGATCATCACTGTCCCTAGAGCCAACAGGATTAGAGAGGAACAACTCTGAAATCCCAGATGGAGAAAGTGAGAAGCTTCAGGTGGGCCCACATTGAGGGAGGGATCTGCTCCCAAAGACTGACAGGCAGTAAATCCTGGACTGAGGCAGTACACCCAGGACTGAGGCTGTAGACCCAGGACTGAGGCTGTAGATCCAGGACTGAGGCTGTAGATCCAGGACTGAGGCTGTAGATCCAGGACTGAGGCTGTAGACCCAAGACTGAGGCTGTAGACCCAGGACTGAGACTGTATAGACCCAGGACATAGATTATCACCATGATATGATGATGATCATTAACAACACTACAAAAAGTTATAAAAAATAAGTCAAACATTGTTTCAATTTGGCAAAATTTATCTTGATTTAAACACATTCTGACTGTTTTAAAACAAGATTTGGCAATGGCACAAAGCAAAATGTCCTTGTTTAAAAAATATACAAGAAATGTCTCACTTGGAATGAGAATATAAAGCAACAGTTCTTGTAATAAGAGTTAATGGCTTTGTCGCACTGGAGATTCAAGCATTTTTTGTGTCTTTTTTTGCAGTGAGGGCATCAACTGGAGAGTAATGCTGTCCCCCACCCAGGGGAGGTCCGCACTCCTCCGCCTCGCTGCCTCCTCTCCTCCGCCTCTCTCCTCTCTCCCCTTTCATCCCTCCTCTCCCCTCTCCCCTCTCTCCCCTTCAGTCTCACTATCCACATCCTGTGCCGCAGCCTGGAGCAGATCCCCCCCGAACCCTCCACAGCCTCCAGAACTACATGGGGAGCCTCACTGGTCACTGGAGGAACTGCACGTGTCGCCATAGCCATCCCGGGGCAGGCAGGTGGCTGTTATACGAAAATGCTGTGGAGATGCTGCAAAGTCATAAGCAAAA